CCCCAAAACCCCAAAACCCCATGATGTATTGATTTTATATTTATTAATGAAATTTAGAATTTAATAATATTTATCTAGCTCTTAAAAGAATTTTTTAATTCAATAATTGCTTGCAGTTGTCTTGTAAATTTTATCTAAGCCACTGCTATACCTTGATTTTTCTATGTAATCAGAAATAAGATCATCTTTTGTGAGAACATATCTTCTATTTTCTAAATTATGCTTTGATAAACTTGTGGTGATGCCTCCTCCGCCTCTTTGATTACTCTTCTTTACAATGAAATTTTATCTAACTAATTTATCAAGGTCTATATTTATGCTCTGCTTAACTTAAACATCAAGCTTTGAAATTGAAGATTAATTTCTTGATATTTTTTCTCTTTAATTTTACAATTTCTTATTAGTAGTAGTGTAATCTACAGATCTATTTAATTTCAAATCTAGCAAGCCAATATTTAAATTATCTATTTCATAATCGTTTGGATAATCCACGGTTAAATTAGCTTAAGTATCAATTTCATCAATAGTTGTTGAGGTTCTATCATTAATATCTGGGAGTGAGATATCCTATACTATTTATAAGGTTAAAATATTTACCTTGTTTGCCTTACGAGCTTTCTTTCAACTATAGCTCTTCACCGGACTCTAAATACTACTGATAGAGTTGGCGTTTCCATCAAGGTTTAAAATGCTATTCCTAGTGTGTAGAGTTATTTAGTATCTCTTTTATTGCAAAGTCTTTGTAACGAGAGGATCAAGTTTATTGCCTTTGAATGGCGAATAGTCATTTAGCAGCTTTTAATGATTTTTCATCTATATGTAAGCTATTAAGTGGGTATTTTACATACTCTATGATAGTGATTATTAAGTTCATCTCGTGTAATTTGTGATTTAGCATTCAATATTTTATTTTTTAATAAGTCATTTTCATAATTAATCTTTTTTAATTCTTCTTTTTTCTATACTATGTTTAGACTTTTAGGTCCAAATCTTTGCAGGTGAGGTATTTTCTCATTCTATAAAGCAGTTATTATATCTAAGATATTTTACGTAAACTACATACTACATCTTTTTGATAATCCTCATATTTTCCTTTGTAATTGAGTTATCTCTATTAATATTTGTTAGGGACAAATTATTACTTTTATTATTTTTTCCTAAGGACTTAAAATTATAATTGAGATCTCACTTTTTCGAAAACTTAAGGTGTATATGTATCTAACACTGTCTATGATGTCAATACTTTTTATTTATGGTTGACGTAGTTAATGTAGGGCCTATATTGGTATCAAATTAGAGCATTTAGATAGGTTATTTTTTACATTAGAGTAGATCCATTACCTCTTTTATGTCGCTCATTCATTTTTTGTGCAGATTTATTTTATTAATCTTAATAATCTTATATTTTTGATAGGATAGGGGTTTTGGGGTTTTGGGGTTTTGGGGTTTTGGGG